TCGAGTCCATGGTAGAAGTTAGAGATTTCATAACTGAGTCTTTTGTCTCCTTCGCTTCTGAAGGGCTTTTGTGGAGCTAGTCAAAATTTAACTCTGAAAACATATGTTCCATAACTCTTCTACATCTCAAACTTCAAAAATTGAGGCTGAGGGAGGATTCATAATTTTTTACCTCAATTCCATTTAAAAAAATCAGAGTGTTTCTTCTCTTCTCACTGGTTTTAGAGATTTCCTGTGGCATTTTTTTTAGAAGCTTGAATATCTTGATAAGCATAAAGACAGATTGAGGTTCACAGAGACTGCTGTATGATTTCTCTCTTTTTGCATAACCTCTTGTAATACAATCACCAATTTAAATACCTTCATAAGTTAAAAAAAAAAATTTCAAAGTACTCATAAATCTAGAGGCACTGGACTGTGTTGAAGATCCTCAGAAAAGACAAGAATACTAATCTTCAGGCCAAATTTTCTTTGCCTCCCAACAGACAATGCTTTCGCAGGAGAAATGACTCAAGGGGTCTTGTCAGCTCTTCTTATGTTTCCTCCTGGCTTTTCACTATGGAAGAGGACTTCTTTATAAGACAGCAAGGATTATCATCCTTCTGGCATTTTTCCCATGCCCAACTTTTCATTCTGGAACTCTTGCCTCTTAAGCAAGAATAAGCAACTCTTCCATAGTCTTTTCAGTGAAAGCTAAAAAATACTTCTTTGTTATGGAGCAGTTCTGCTTACTTTTACTTTGGCAGAGGATCTACTCTTAAAGGCCACCAAAACAGTTAGAACGAAACAGATTGGTCTGTCCGTGTCACGCTGTTGGTTCAAAAATAGGCACACATAAAAAGATTTTCAATAAAAACTACTGCAAACAGAGAGAATGTAAATTAGTCTAATTATTGCTCTGCATGTCATTTTTTCTTTTTGAGATGCCTTCTTACCTTACACATGGGACTAGTTACAATTCATCTTTTAAAGTGGAAAAAAAGGTAGCATGATCGATTTCATTTGTCTATCAGGTTTGTACATATTTTTGATGAATAGAGCTAGGCATACAGCAAAAACATGATGGAATTTTAAAAGTAATTAGCTTTTGTTCTCTTTGTAACACTTTGATATTAATTTTCAATATGCCTTCAAGCAGGTAGAAAGCATGGAAATGCTCCAGCGAATGTTAAGCTTGCATACTTACGCAGTTGTACTTTCATTTCTTTCTTCCAGTGCCGTAGCCCATGAAAGTGACCAAGGCAACTTCAGGAGTTAACACATGTAGACAATTATTAAAATTTAATTTCTGCAGTGATAGGTGAGCAGTAGTCTATCTTCTTGGGTTAGTGACTTTATTTTCCCTTCAAAGTTCAACTATGTGTCTTGGCTAATGCATACATCAACTGCATTTACAGCAGCTGCTGAGAAATCACTGAAGGTAAAAATACTGTGTGACTGTGGATAGTGTCAGAAGTATGTATCAAAGTGATGAAATTCCACTGTCCCACCATTTACCACTCCATCAGGTAGTATCTGTGATCTGACAATTATAGAGATGATGCACCTGTACAAGATCAACTGAAATGACTCCTGGTTCTTCCAAGCTGTGCTTGCAGTCCTATTCACATTCTCACCACTACAATCCACTACTGATTTGAGAAAAACGGTGCACTTCTGGAAAACCACAGCCACACACATTTTCTTTGATGTTTTGCCCATTACTTCAGGTTGTAAACCCAAGAGAAAATGCAACAGCAATGTGCTATATATCTTTGTTTAGGCTTTGATTTGCACTAAGAACTCTAAAAGCACTATCCCTAAGGCAAAGGCACTAGTAAGTATCAGAAGTAGTAAGTATCCCAACTTAGTGGAACAGAACTCTGAAGACTTGGATCGTACTCGCAGTTCTGCTAGTAGCAACTTTGAGATCTCCTGAGGAAAACTACTACACATTCTGGTATTTACAAATATATAATTGAGAGACCTGACGGATCTGCCATCAAAGAAAAATTGTGTATCTATAACATTATTATAAGAAGTAATAGTCTCCTGCTGATGTTTACCGCTCAGCAAAGCTCTGTCATTACCTTTTCGCCTTTTTTTTTTTTTAAATACTGTTAAATCCATTATTTCTGCACTGATATTTTCTATGCAGGATGTACCAAGCTTCTGCTTCTCATCTTAAAGCAGCATTAGGAACACTTGAGTACAATGCCTTTTCATCTCTTTTTCTTGGTTATGTTTCTTGATTCAGTGCCAAATGATGTTCTACTCACTGTTGGTAAGAATATCTCCTACTAGTCTGTACTACCTTTAAAGCTACGGAGTATGTACCTAAAATAGGGTAAAGTGCAAAGGCAATACATCTTTTGTCGTAAATGCCAAGGCTGTTATCTCCAAGTCAAGTGATACGGACTCGCTTGTATGCTTACTCCCATACTATGTGTAGGGTGTGCGGTGAGCCACTATCTTTCCTCCAGCTGGGTTTTTCTAACCTATATCTGGATTACTCTGTTCACCATGGTAGCCACTGGAGCCAGCCACAGCCACTGAAGACATGAACTAGTAAGTACCAACCGTAGGTGGCTCAAAGACTAGAATCCTAAACCAAAACAAAGAACAAGCTAATGTGACGTCCCTGACATATCCAGACTGATGCAACATCTCAATGAGTTCATGTCATTTAAGCAGTCATAGAAGCTGGACAAAGACTTGAACCCACCTCTTTCAATTAACATCGCATACATACATCCAGCTATTCAGGATAGGATTTTTCAGCTAACTTTCACCATCTAGTTTATTGCTGAGAATTCCTTTTTGGAAAATGCTGAGAAACATCTCTTTTTCACTTATGTAAAGTATTATCAGAAAACATATTTTAGTAGCAAAGAAAATTCAGTTTACTGTTCTCATCCCCAGTATACAACGATCCCTAATTTTGTGCTGCTCCAGGAATTAGGGCTCTACTACTGAAGATTTAGGTCCAGTATACATTCCATCAGTAGAAAACAAACTTGCAAATAATACCACTTCTTGAACAGAAAACAGACTAACTGTGAAAAAAACCCAAATGTTTCTTTTAATTCATGACAGTGATAGAGAAAAAGCCAGTCCATTTTAGCTTGCTGCTAGGAAAATACCAAAGTTGTTTCCAGCAGTTCAAAGAATTTGAGTCCTAATTTCAGGTCATATAAAATCACACATCCACTCCAATCCAGTCACCATACAGAAATACTCTGGGTGAAATTTTAGTCTCCTTAGTGCTAGAGACTGCTTTCACATTGCCTTCAGCAGAAAGAGTTTCATTCTTGAAACTTGAGTATCAGGTCTACTAGAAAGAAATTCTGACAGCTGTTATTTCTTGAAAAATAACTGGGCAAATTTAAGTGATTTTTAGCAAATAGTAGATAGAGCCATCAGGCTAAGAAGTTGCATTACACACAATGCACCAACTTGTTTGTGATAAAAATTGCTGAGAAGACATTTCCAGAGATCTTTATAGCCCTGTTTGTGCAGAGCCAAAGCTAACTTAACAAAAGGTGAAGAATATGCCCTCACAAAGCCTTCACCTGATTTTTACAAAAATAAGTTATTAATGCTCAGGTAATCACCAGAAACACTAGTTGTGTAAAAGCGTAATTGGAAAGATGTATATATATGCTAGGAGCATAAAAACTACATATTGATGCATGCACATACAAATGTGTGCTGTTTTAAAGGAAAGCCTAAAAATCTCTAAAGAGAAACTATTCAAAAGAACTGACCTACTGTTAGTTCACATTCAATCCCCAGTATAGCCATGATCTAAAAGGTTTACGCTCACAAAACCAGAAACACGTGCTTGTATGCTTCTGAACGCTTCTAAACACTCTTAGCACAAACCCTATCTCATTTTTACTAGCTTACACACCTGATGTTAGTTTTGGTTTAGCCAACAGGAGTGAAGTCAGCAGCAGGTCTTATTACTGGACCTATCATCAAAATCCGAAAATAATGCTTTTCTACAGTTGAAACAAGTATGGTTCCTATTTAGTACATTACCAGTTAAGTATGCATTACAGGATCCAGTGAAAACCATAATCTAGCAGTTACTGCTCTAACTATACAATACATAAAAACTATTTGTGAGAACTTGTTTCATTTCACTTTCATGGCAGGCTACGTTTGAAATGTAAATGCAATATTTATAACTATTTTAAAATACATTTTCTTTAAACCTAACACTACCATCATCCATTGAAAAACATGAAAACAACAGGTTTTTCCTATTTGTAACACTTTAGATCCACTTTCATCTTACAGGGAGAGACACACAGAGCAGACAGACAAAGCAAAACAGTCACAGTGTTTTTCCCAGCAGCCTTAGCGTCTCCCTCATTTACTGGATGGATTTCACCACGTTAGCTGGTGTCTCAAGGGCAGCCTGAGACTCACACATTGGAAGTCTCATGCATTTTTAAAAATTGAAATACACAGAGGTAGAAGGTGAGGACTGACAGGCTTCCGAGGCATTACTGTAATGCAAATACAAATAGTAACTGTTTTCAAAAGCAGGCATGGATTTACTACAGCAGCCAACAGGGTTGTGTCCCATTCCCCATCCGCAAGCTTGAAAAATCATGTGAAATACTTATTAAAACATGACTGTGCACCTTCCCATGTCCCTGTGCGACTACCTAAAATATAGCACAGATATTAAATAGCCTTGCTTATAATTGTTAGCTCCTGTCTTACAGCTTAGATGAACGACATCAACTCCCTTCTCTGAACATATCTTGTTTTTTACTTTACAGTGGAGTATTTTTTAGGTAATTCCTTGCAGCCACTTTGCACTTATATTTATGTATAGATAATAAAATGTAAAGATAATGAATAAACAAAACCACTTATACTTGTGAGTTAGGCTGCACATACCACATTTTTATAGCAACCTTTTAATAAAGCCTAGGGAAAACACATTTACATGAGTGAAGACCTATTTAAAACAAAACAGAAATCTAAAAAGTAGAAATTCTTACCCTAAAAAACTCTTTAGTGGAGCCAGAATCTAACGTCCCATAAGCAATTTCTGTTTGCTTGGAAAGATCCTCTGCACTTTCAATGGGAGACACCATCCTCTCAACCGTCAGGAAGGCAGCTAAGTTAGCCGTGTAGGATGAGATTATGATGAGGGTAAAGAACCACCACACACCTCCAACAATGCGCCCAGACAGGGATCTAATAACAAGTATGAAATGGATTTGTAAACTGAAATGAAAGTCCTAAAAAGGAACACGTTATCAGTTTTATGCAAATGATGCATTAGACTATAAGGAAGCATTTCAGGCTATCTCGTAGTGCAGCTCTGCATTCTAATCAGATGGGAATCAATGCGTACTCCACTACATCTCCCAGACTTTGCTGAAATCAGGACTCCAGAGTTTACTTTAGGGAGAATTTAGTGATCCAGTTCTTCAAAGTTCCGAACATCCTGAAAGGAAACTGCTCCCATCATAATGTGCTATATTTAACACATAAGCTTGTCATTCCCTCTGAAGTGAATTTGTATGACATTATGAAAAGGATCAAACAAAACCAGTGAAACAGTGCTTTCAGATAAACCAGTATGCACTTAAAAATTAAGTGCCTTTAGCTTGCTTATTTTCCTAAGACATTCAGACAAAGACTGATTTCCACAAAACAATGGCTTATGCTGCTGAGGACAATCTATACTGAGAAACAAATAGCATTATTTGCAATAAAAACTGGCCCGGGGAATATCCATAAACTAAAAAGTGCACACAACTTTTGAAAGATACAAGCATTTAACAAACTGAAGACTGGACATGAAACAATCAGTGATAATACAGAAAAATGGTGAAGAAAGTCTATTTTTAAATAATAATAATAATCTGATGTTTTTAACTGCAGCAGGTGGGCTCTTATGGATCTTTGTTTTGCATCTCCTGCTCAAGAAGAGAGAAGAGAAGAGAACTCAAGAAAATATATAAAACAGTATAGAGCACACAACTAGAGAAATTCAATTATTTTCAATACTAGAAAACTAACAGTAGAGAATTATTGATACTGCCATTATTGTCAAACTTGACATTTTTTTTAATGATCCTTTAAACTTTGAAATTACTTACTACTTTGTTTCCAAACAAGACATTATAGGAAGGAGTACATAATCTTTGGAGATGCGCTTAATTATTTGGCAGAAATGTGCATGTAGTTGAAAAAGTCTAGTACTAAGGCGTTGCAGTAGCTTAGGTATGTCTTGATGTGTCTCCTCTATCTATTAAGTAAACAAATTACAAATCACTTACCCAGCCTACTGTACTGTGAATGAGATTTCAAATTAATTCTGACAAAATATTTATATATATAAAGATATATATATAACTATATATATGCACACATTAAAACATGATAGTTATGTAAAGCGGATTTATTAAACTGGGAACAAAAATAAATAGAACTGATTATGGAGAAATTATTTTTTACTAATTGCTATTGTAAAAAATCTCTGTGATAATTCAGACATGAAAAGACTTCTTCCATGTCACGACAGACTCTACTACATGAAAATCAAGTCAGATAAGGTCCAGAATATGTTATTAAAAAGGACCATAGAAAAGAAATTATTTCAAGTTCCTTTTAAAATGAGATGTATTCTGCAAACATGCTTTCTGTCACCTTTGAAAAAATATTATATACTTATTTTGACATTGATGTAATCTGAGTACAAAATAATTCTACAATTAAAAGATTGATTCAATTATATGATAAATATACATCTGCAAGGTAAAATATTTGACAATGTATATTTAATAACTGCTGACTTTATGGCACTTTATACTGTATTGATGACATCAGCTATAAATGATAATAATCTTCAAAAGCCCATGATCTGTCAGCTAACAAAGTCGCTACCGATTTTGTCAAAAAAGAATAAACTCAATGCCAATCCAGACATGATGGTCCCACATGACATTTTAAAAGTAAAATTTTTTTGAGCGTCATTTGTATTTAAAATTTTCCCATAAGGTCTGTCCCAGTTAAATAAATAGTTTCTTTTTTTATGTACATTTCAGAAAGTTTCTAAAGATTGATAATTATACGCTAGTATGAATCCATAATTGTACAAGCACCTCATTCATCAGGTCATTAAATACTAAAATAACAATTTCTATGCACAATTACCTAAATTTGTGCACCACACTTTATACTTACAAAGGTATTACATGGCAGTACTGAGCGTACATTCACATCTCAAAAAAGATGAGGAAAACTTTGCTGAATTGTCATTATCATACCTTCTATCCTATCCTATCCTATCCTATCCTACCCTATCCTATCCTATCCTATCCTATTTCTTTATAACAATTTCTATGCACAATTACCTAAATTTGTGCACCACACTTTATACTTACAAAGGTATTACATGGCAGTACTGAGCGTACATTCACATCTCAAAAAAGATGAGGAAAACTTTGCTGAATTGTCATTATCTTACCTTCTATCCTATCCTATCCTATCCTATCCTACCCTATCCTATCCTATCCTATCCTATCTCTTTCTGTGCTACATGGCAACATGGGGATTGCTACTGCAGACCAGTTTCCAGGTGGTCCAGTCTTACTCAACACCACCTTCTATTTCAGAGTCAGGAAGCCCTAGTTACTTGTCTACAATTCTTACAGTGGTTGTCACTTTTATTAGAGAAATGATAGTAGCAATAGTGCAAAACTTAACTTCACAAAGACATTTTGCTGATGTCTGAAGAGATTCCTTTTCATATCTGCTCTAATTCATTTGCAGGGAGTTCAAATTCCACAGTGATGGTTTTGGTGCAAGAACAAAAATAACTGAGGTGTTTTCAGCCCTTTTCTATTTTTATAATAAACAGATAATATACAAACTAAGCGCTTTCCTCAAAAATATGCTTGTAATGAAATAAAGTGCTGTTAAACACCTCACTGAAACTAAATCTTGAATCTCCAAAATGATTAGAGTTTCATGCACCTTTTATGGTGACCATTTACTATCATTATTCTTACACCACCTTTCAAAAGTTATCAAACCATGCACAACAACTGTCATGCTTTAATAGCCAGTAAAATAATAATATAAAGAAAGATCATTATTCTACTATGGCCTTGATTCAATAAAAATAATTTTGTAGCTAATGGAGGACTTTGCGGACAACTAAACCTGTGCAGTGTGTAATCAATACAAAAACCTCAAAGGACTGAAATTAACACAGCTTCTCATGACCTGAAACGATTGCCTCTCTTCACTGTCTCGTTTCTTGAATACAATTCTTACGGTGTTATATGCCAAATCTATCGCATCGTTCATCTTACTGTGATACGCCAGCCTTTACACAGAATTGCTAAAATACTCACACAATAAATGCTCTCTGCAGTTTCTGCAGTAGAACAACTTGAAAACCTGCTGTTGCCTTTTGGGATGCACAACTTATATCTATGAAATGCTCCCTTGGTGTGATTTATTTTGCACACTAGCCATTAGATTCACTAGAAATTGACCTGTTCCCTGTCTTACTTTAGGATGTTTAGAAGAAAGTTAAATTGCTTAGTATAATTAGGTAGGTCTTCTGATTTGATTTCCTTAAACCCAGTTGCCCTATTTCACTTGTCACTATAGTTCCTTCAAGCAGCAAGTAGTTATTTACTTACCTACTTACCACTTTGCTGAATCAAGGCTATAACCACTTGTGCACAAGGGAAATAGAATATTTAATGAGCTGCAAAGGAATAAACTTAAGTGCTTTACAGTTGTCCCTAATAAAGTAGGTGACAATCCATGAGGAATTAGGCATTTATAAACTGGACCTTCAAATTCATTTTAGTGATATCCTTTGTGACTTTTCTAAAACTAGGCCATGGAAAAACAGGAGTGTTTTGCAACTATTCACATGAAATTAGAGCCATCACATGACTTTTATTTCAGTTCAAGGTTCTCCTGTAGGAAAACCGTGGGTTAATAACTGTGTTATGATATGTAGTGAGATTTAGAGGGAAAGTGCTGCCTGTGTAGTTCGTGACTAGTATGTTACCCTTTCTTCCCATTACAGTTGTTGTGAACCATATGCAGTCAACTGTAAAATGGGAATATGCAGCAAAAACACGGTACCCCTCCAAGAAGGCATGGAATGACTTGAACCTTATGCATTTTACAGTCTCTGCATGGTGTATATAACTTCACTTAGCAAATGTATGATCGACGTTAAGACAATATCGATCAAATACATCATTACCCTATGTCACAGACAACTGCTTTTATTTCAAGGAGTTTTGTGATTTTAGGGAGGGAAAAATCATAGTAATTAATTTCTTTCCGAGAGTGAAAATATATGCACCATAAACCTCCTCTGGCTGAGATGGCTGAGACCAAAAATGCACAAAGTTGAAATGGGCGAGTAACCAACCTTGGCGGTACCCCTCCAAGAAGGCATGGAATGACTTGAACCTTATGCATTTTACAGTCTCTGCATGGTGTATATAACTTCACTTAGCAAATGTATGATCGACGTTAAGACAATATCGATCAAATACATCATTACCCTATGTCACAGACAACTGCTTTTATTTCAAGGAGTTTTGTGATTTTAGGGAGGGAAAAATCATAGTAATTAATTTCTTTCCGAGAGTGAAAATATATGCACCATAAACCTCCTCTGGCTGAGATGGCTGAGACCAAAAATGCACAAAGTTGAAATGGGCGAGTAACCAACCTTGGCGAAATATCGCATCCTTGCTGCATAAAGGCACCCAGGGAAAACCAGAGACTATTAAATATCCCAAATTCATTAGTTGATTCATTAGTTTGCGTTTCTCTTCCATCTTCAAATTCCTCAGTGTGCCACTCGTACGGGCTAAATCTGCTGACCAGGAATAAAACTACACTGACCCCAATGTAGGCAAAAACAATGCACATCCAGATTTCATATGCTAACGGATCAAGAAATGAAAACACTCCTGGCTTGGACTTCTGAGGCTTCTTGATCATTATTGATATCCCCAGGCTCATAAAGGGCTTTGAGAAGTCAATCACCTCTTCTCTCACCAATGTTATAGTTAATGGAGCGATTGCAATATCGGCTTTCTGTAAAGGAAGAAAAAAGCAAATAATAGCTAATACAATGATCAGAGCAAAGAATGGTTGTTTCTATTGCATTTCACAAATGGAAAATAGGACAGCAGAGACACAGGTAACATGCGTTTTACCAAGAATGTCCTATGGAAAATTTCAGAAATTTTTAGTTGAAACTCTTCTTACTGAAATACATATAACCATATGGTTGGCATATTCCAAGCTTCCCTTTTTCACATGCCCTTTTAAAAGTATACGACATTTAAAAGTGTTAGTAAAGAACTTTGCCTTTCACTTGGTCAGAAGGATGAAATACGCACTCACTTCCCCCCAACTTCATTTGCATTTAAAAATCTAATTCCATGCTTTACTTTCAAAATTTTTCATGCCAACTCAAGTTACTAATTCTCTGTCAAAGGAATTAGATAATTTTTCATCTACTCTACAGGGGAAACTAAACCAAATCCCACTCCTTCCATCAGTCATCTTTAATGGCTTTATTATAAAAGATTTTCTTACCCCATAAACAAGTTCTCCAACCATCCCATTCCAGATTTTCGTGTCTGCATCCCTCGCCCCATACTTGCCATCCCCAACAATTGTGAGCTTATATTTGAATCCACAGTGTTTAGCAATTTCTGTAGCTAAGTCCACACAATAGCCCTCATATCGATCATTTCCTTCAAGCATTTCATGATTTTTCTTCATCATGACGTATGGGGACTCCTGCACAGAAAGAACTTGCCTTAGCTACTTCGTAAAGAGACAGATGTATCAGTTGTGCACTTCATAGATCAATACATTTCCTTTTACATGTGAAACAAAGAGAGAAGATAACATCTGAATCATACATGCTATGTCTATGTTAGCTGTTAATTATTAATGTGACATGTCCTTAACACATTTAAAAGCGGCATTCTCCACAGTCATATACAAATAACAATACTTACAGGTATAGTGATTCCCAGCAGTATGTTAATAATGACCATGAATGTTAACAGGAGTTACGCATTCAGAGAAGAAAGAGTAAGTCCCAAATCAGTTTCTTTCTCTCATACAGTTTGGATGGAAGAAGGCAAAGGTATTTAGTTGCTTTTGTTGTTGTCTTAATACAAGAAAATTCTTTCCTATTTCACAACCACATCCTTCCCTGGGAAAACACTTCAGGGTCTCCAGGCTATATCTTTATTGAGTTACTATACAAACAATAGGTAAGATATCTATAACTATGCAGTAAAGTTCTGTCATCAGCAAAACTCGTGATGAGTCATAAGTCGCATTGAAGTAATGTATCTCCTCTTTGCTCAGTTGTTACCAAACGATTCTCACATCCAGTGAAATTCCTAATCTAGCCTGTGACTTGTCCAAACTGATAAAGAAGCTGTGTAACTTACAGAAAAATGCTGTTCTATGACAATACATAATGTTATTTTCTAGACAACTAGAACACAACTTTTAATGTTTTATTTTACACTCCACCAATCCATAGCAGCTACAATTTTGAAGCATAAGAACCAGTCTCTTTCCTGCTTGGCAAAATCCATTCTCTAAAACTAACACTATGGTTCTGCCTTTCAAACAAAGTTCTCTCCTTTGAAAGCAGGTATTTCATTTCCATTTTCAGGTCTAAAAATTCTAACTTTCTAGGATATTCAATCAATGACTGTTTGTCTTCTACAGAACAAAACCGTATACTGAATCACATACATTTCCTTAGTTTCCAGATTTTATTTATGCATCATAATGAGTAACAGGTCACAACCTCAAATAATAAAAGACAGCATATTTAAACTAACATAATGATGAGAAACAAACCACTGTAGGACAGACTGTCTTCTGACAAAATATGAGGTTAATTACCAAAATAGTGGTGACAATAATAGTCTTATTCTCTAGTCCTGAAGATTCATTTCCAAGAGGGCCATCAAGAGGATTCACAACCATTTTGTCCACTTCACTCCAATATCCAATCTAAAGAGAGTTTATAGGATGCACAGACACGAGTGAATATGAACTTTCATAGAAAAGGTAAAGCATGTTATTACTATGCCCTTGATTTATGTTCACAGAGAACTATGGATTTACCAGTGTAAATATTTCTATTTATGTAGTTAAAGACTATAGAAATAGTAACAAGGTTGAACTAATGACATTTGTTCACGTTAATTTGTCTAATACAGGTATACCGCTTTCATTCACATATTAGCAGGTTTTAGTATCAACATCACACACTGTAGGATTGAAAGGGTTATGAAATACTCCAGATAGGGAGACACGAGAAACTGGCTTTTCTGAAAGGTTTGGAATTAGAGCAGAAAGATAATCACATTTAAAGAAAGATCACTGAAAAGCTATATTCTGTATTTGTCATTCAGAAGCATATTTCCCCAATTACTGGCTCACATTTAGCAATTCAGATCAGAAAGCAAGAAGTTTAATCCACAAAACTGAAAGGAAAATACTCTTACATAGTACTTACCAGAAATAACAACTTGTATTTGTTAGAAAGAAATAATACATAATTTTACTTTGACCCGCAAGACCATTGTAGAATACACCTATGAATAAATGGTATCACAACTCATGCTTAATTTATTTATAGTGTTTCATTACCTACCTTAACCTGTTGCTTAGCATGGTAAAACCTTTAAAGACACTGTAAGACAATTCAAATTACCTTCCGAGGACCAGTACTTTTGAGTTCCATGATGTTTATTGTAAAATTGATTCTCTTTCCATTCTGATCAAACTTTATATTCCCTGTTAGACCTTCCACCTGAACCTATATAGACGAAGATGAAAGTAGTAGAAGAATTAATTTTGTTTCTTTTTAGAAAACGCATTTTGTATTTCCATAAATGATAATTGGTATTTCAAAAACATTCAGTTTAGACTCTTTTCCCTACCCAATATATCATCTTAGTATAAGACACATTCTTGAGGAGTTCACTTCCACATTATTCCCAGCAACATCCAGGGAGGTTAGGAGACTGGAAGGTTCTTTTCAAGCATTTATAGAGTATTTCACATATGCACTCATCCCAGCATTCACTCCAGGTAAGCTACCTGTTTCAATGCCCTTTCTATTTCTACACCATGACCCCAGGGTACAGCTGGATTTGCAAGACAATCTCCAGCATTTCCTCTTCTGGAGATCTCAATCCTCTGCTTACGCAAATTACGGAAAGCTTCTGTCATCACTTGAACAGCATCATAGGTCAGAGCAGACGTATACTGAAAAGAAGTGAAAATATTTAATTAAAAACCAGCTTCAGATTCACTACGTCTTCCAATCCTCATTAATCCAACACAGAAATATATTAAAAATAAAAAGGACAGTAAGATATACTTGAAATCAGACCAGTTTTTCTTTAGTTTGGAGGTCACTAACCTCTGAAGGGCACCTACGTAAATTAATGAAGTGTTCTCCATCAGAATGGTTGGGGGCAGTGCTAATAAGTCTAAACTGAAGGTTTACAGCTGTTTTCAGTGTGAATTACATTCCTTTCTCACTACAACTGTGTAACAGTTCTGTGTGCAGATATGGCTGGACATCCATGGAGGGAAAGGGGGAAAAAAGAAATAATTTCCACTATTTAACTTGTGCTAGCCTCTAAAAATAAGAAATTGTTCCTTTGATAACACTCTTCATGGAGATGCATTTATATACAGATCTCTAGACTACATCTCCTCACACATATATACACACAAAACCAAACAACGTATGTTTGTATATATGTGTGCTTAACTTTTATCTGTTAAATATAAAAACTCAGGGGTAGCTATTTTCAAATATGCAATATGTTGTCAACACCCTGCAAAAACAGGTTTTGGGCTGAGATGTCTGGAAGAAGAAGTGGTGCCCCTCAAAGAACAATATAGGCAAGGAAGAGCCCCACATTCCTAGTCTGATAGGATATAAGGAGCTTTACAACTTTTGAGACATCAGAGAAGAATCTTGCAACCACATGCATCAGAAGCTGGGACTAAACAGTCAAAAGCAGTTATCTTCAATGACTGGAAAATTTTACATCTTAACTAACTGAAGAGAAACCACATGTGCATGTACACCGAGGACGTTGTTGGATAGGCTTTATGAGTCCAGAACATTGCAATTATGCCAAATTTAAGGGACATTTTTAGAAATACGGGCCAGAATATAACTACTTACAGCCTTATGAATGAATGCAATGATCCCTATGAAGGCTATTAGATGCTGAAAATATATAAACTGTAAAGCGGTGAGAAATGATATATCGGCTCTTTGCTTCAATGGCTCAGACTTTAATGAGAATTTTAATTAGCTAGCTCAAGTCATGCAGAAGGCTCTTGTAATTGTAACCAAGGCAGGCTCCTGAATCGAGGTCATTTTTGTATGCAACTGTTAGACCTTGGAGAGGAAGAAAAGGAAGGTGGAACTCTTTTTTCAGATGTATAAGCTTACTGGGTGACTAATGTGAATCTTCTCAAGAAAGTTTTCAGTGACTTGTACAGAAATCTTTAAAGGGATCAGAACAGCAGAAGAATGAAGTGAAAGACTTCCTGGAGCTGATACTACCTTCTACTACTGGAGCAGCAGTGATTAAGTGGTGGACATGGATTTGGATTTGGAGAGGAAGAGAAGGTAACAGAGAGAAGAGAAAGGACCCTTACTCATTTTTTGGGGGCTAGCTAGCAATACTGCTTTAATTGCAGCTCTTTGCAGTACAGAAACATGTACCACACTAGTGTTTTGAGAAACTTTGGATACAGCACTGTCATTAACCACTGAAACATACTTTGGGTAGCAGAGAAAATAAGAGCTTGAAATTGAGAAGTTATAGTGCTATCTAATTCAGTTATCCTATGTTTAATTTGATCATTGGGATATGTTTAATGTATTATCTCAAGAATATTATCCCTATAGTATCTAATTACTGGCCTGAATATTCACAACTCAGTCATATATTCAGTTTGTGTAGAGCTTTGCCTATTAATATATATCTGTACGTGTATACATGTCATCACATATATAAAGTTGTCGTGGTTTAACCTCAGTTGGCAACTGAGCACCACACAGTCGCTCGCTCCCTCCCCACCCCCCCGCCCCCAGTGGGATGGGGGAGAGAATCGGAAGAGTAAAAGTGGAATATTTTGATAACTTTCTGGAACTTTGATAATAATAAGCTGATTTATTAAACTATAATATAATGCACTGAGGTGCCAGATTTTATGTTATTTGCTATGAAACACAGATAGCATGCATGTCAGATGAAAAGAATTCTCTCTCTAAATAAATGGCCTAAAGATTTTATGTTATTTGCTATGAAACACAGATAGCATGCATGTCAGATGAAAAGAATTCTCTCTCTCTAAATAAATGCCCTAATTGCCAAGAAGAGAAAACACAAGGTCCATATGCGATTTTATTCAATTTAAATGTAAAATGTACTATAGACCTTAATAAACTTTGTAAGCTGCAATTGAGAAGATGAATTTGAAAATTAAAGACAAACCGAAATCATCACAGACTAAGCAGAAGATATTAATCATGTGCTGTCCAGGAAAAACTGGCAAGATGTTGACTTTTGTAACTTTAGCTGTTGTCTAGTAAATCAGAAGATACCAGAAATCTTTAACTAAAAGGCCCAGTAACGTCTTTTGTACAATCAGTAACTGAATCTTTTGAAGATGAAATTGCAGAAGACGCCCCCAGAAGCACAAGATTTTTTTATATATGTATTTTAAAGCTGTAAGATATTATAAAAAGATTTAATCCCACAACACTAGCCTTAGTCCTGCGTTTAACCCAATGCCTGTCAATGTGCTGAAGACACAAAGTTGAGAGATACACTTAGAGATCTAAAATATAACATTAAAAGAATTTACTTGAGCAGTAGAAAAGAAATGAAAGTGTAAAGACATAGATGAAAAAAAAAAAGGGAAGTATCCTGAATCACAAGAAGTAGAATTCTTTCTCTCTTGATTTGGATATCTGCAATGCCTAAATCTGTCCTTGACATACTAGTTGTTTTTTTACAGTCAAAGAAGAAAAATAAGCATTTTAAGGTGTGATTCATTTGGCCTATGTTAGACACATTCTTTAAGATGAAATGAATCGTGCCTTAGATTCCATTAATTTGATCTCCAGTGACTTCTGAGACTACTGGAGGAGTCCAGGGCAATAATCTTAGATACATATGTCTACACTGTAGACACACTAAAAACAAATTAAAACGACTCAAGGGGACTATGAACTAGCCATTTAGTCCTAATCTAACACAACAGTGAGAAAGACAAACAAAATAGGATATTTTGGGCAGAGACCGTACCAGCAGAGTCAAAGAACACAGTGCTAGTGTAGAAGACACCAGGGAGAGTTCAGCTAGAATGGCATATGCAGCTGAAGCAGTGTTCAAGAAGGCTGAAATCAGTCTGAAACCAGCACAAAGAGGGTTCCTCACCACGTATTGGTGGTGAGGGGGCCTGCTATTGGGAGTGATACAGGAGAAGGGACACTCTGTATCACTAACAGAGGTTAAGAGAAAAGACGTCTAAAATCAGATACAAATATTTTTCCTTGGAGGAAGGTAAGATTCAAAGGGAGGTAATGCAGGAAATGTTCCTTGTTGCAAGAGCAAGTGGGTAGAATCAATTGGTTTAAGCAAATGTTCAGTATTTTTCCTTATATTTAAACAATTTAAATATACTTTAATACCAAGAAATATACATCAGAGGCAATAAATATATAACAAACTGTCTTTGTAGAGTGTGGGTATATTAAATGTTTGGCTTACTGCAGTATACTAGCAACTTTTTTTCCAACGGTTCACTACGCATTTTATCACGTTGTTTGTAATGCTTCAGTAAACTATACACAGACTAAACTGAGATATCAAACGGTGTCTTGTTTTAATAAATGCTACAGCTTTATTTTGCTGTGAGGGTTATATTCAACAAAATCTCTCATCTGAGTTTCATGCATTTTTTCCACAACGAAGTAGTTCTCTACTTGAGTGTTAGTATATACCACAAAAGCAAAATTGCCTTTTCATTGTGCTTTGTACCATAATTGTGCTTTTTGGTCAAAACATTCACAAAACTCTACCGAACTGTTTATAATTTCAGAAGTAACTGCTAGAGATTGGTATATAGATATAGAAGCATTCCTACATTTTTATATATAAAAAATGGGTATATACATATATAAACCCTCAAGCAAAAAGAATGAGAGACAAAGTTACTTGTCAAGAACTAGTAAAGGAACTTTAAGTTTACTTAAGTAAAGGAGCCCAGAAAAGACCGAATGCTTGCCTCTTCCTCTTTGATCTTTACATTAGAATGGAGCTCTTGTGAAAACAGGCAGCCCTTACAACAGACTTGCTTCCAGCTGAAAATAATCGTATATATGCAAGATACTGGAAATATCAACGGATTATTTGTAATTTTTTTATACCAATCCTGGTCCTGACTAAAAGGGGAAGAGAAATAAATAAAATGTAAAATTACCAGACCTTTAAAAATTTTTTTTTAAATTAATCTCAGTAAAGATGACGTTAGAGATCAAGCCCTATTTATCTTAACAAATAAACTATCTTTATTAAATTTTGTTTCCAGAGGTTGTAGAGTCAGACCAACTTGTATTTTGATGATAGCCTTTATTTAAATGCAATTCCAGCATTCTGTGTGCACAAAACAGCTAAACAAATAATACGTATTTTTGCTCTGAAATGCCATAATGTTTTGGGCAGAACGTCAGATGCAAAGAACGCCTTAAGCAACCTGCCACCTTAGAAAAATTAAAGTGTTCAGGTCCAAAACTGCTATCCAGAAAACCTGCTGATTTTGTGATGTGTTTAAGTTCTTTAGGTATCTCCTTGTTTGGTTTAGAAAGGCTGCTTTCTGGGCACACCCAGAACAGCTTTGTTTTCTAGCCCAGTAGCTAGGCACCTGCCTAAGCCTACACCCCTGGAAGTCTAACTCCTATTTGAAAAGCATGCTCAGAGCACATGCAGCAGACACTGACAAGACTGGGGCACTTGAATTATCCTAACACTCCCACTGTAGGATATTTATAGGGGAAAGTGACCTTCTTTTACTCCTTTTAAAACTGAATAAACGAAGATCACAAGATTTATGAACCCCAAGGTGCTTGGCCTTTCTATCTATTTCACCTACTACTCTAATAGGAAGGAGATTCCAGGACTGTAATTCCTCCCCCAAGATTACTTCCAATCCAGAAGAACACTCTTCTC